CATTACTTAAATAATTACGCATAGCACGAAAATTAGCCCTACTAAAGTTCCCAAAAAAGTTTTGAGACTTTCCGATCAACCTAATATCATTTAACATTACTTCCAAAAACTTGTGTTGAGCTTCTCGGATAAACTTACCTATTGACGTTGACATAATGTAGCGAAGCAGTTTCGGTGTTGTTTACCGGAAAGTATTGAGAAAGCTTCAGAGTATCGTTAGGATTCAATGTGATGGACTCCAGAAAAAGAGTGAGGCCTGTTTTGCTTCCTGGTTCCACCTGGAAAAAATCTCAAGCCATTGTCCGGAAATTAGTAGTCTAGGTGTCGTAGCACAATTTAAGAAGAGATTTTTTGATATTTCTGTCCCTTTTCAAATCTACAAAAACAATCTCTGTCTTCCCCTAAACCTTATGTAGTAATTGTAATCCGAGGTCTTACCTAAGGATACTGTAAACATGCGGCTGAGTGGAAATATTTATTTAGGTTCAAGCTCTATAAGTATGATTCAGTTCGTTCTGCTACAATTTTATGCCTTGCTATCGTAANTGGGTTGTTACCCATGTCGGGTAACCCTTCTTGAACAGTCTAGTTTGGAGTTACCCGAATAAAGCAATGGTCAACTGTACAGCTATGCGAATGAATCAAAGCATCGTTAGGATTCAATGTGATGGACTCCAGAAAGAGAGTAAGGCCTGTTTTGCTTCCTAGTTCCACCTGGAAATGAACTGAAGGTATCCCGAGCAGTCTAAGTCTAGGTGCAAAGCAAATGTTTAAAAAGTGAATTTTTGATGTTTTTGTCGATTTTTAAACCTACGAAAATAATCTCTATTCTCACCTTAACCTTATACAAAAGATGCAATTTGAGGTATTACTTAAGGACTGTGTAAATATGAGGTTCAGTGAACATGTTTATTTTGTGGACAAACTCACAGTGATTACTGGTTTTGCTCCAATTTTATGATACATTACAGCGATTGAATTATTACTCATGTTGGGTAACACCCTTGTGATGAATCTGACTTGCAATTACCCGAATAAAGCAATGCAGTTCGTTTACACAGCAAGGCAAATGATCCCATTGTTCGATTTCACCGCTGGCATACTCCTCTCCATATGTTCGATCAGGGCAACTGCAATCGTCAGCTGGAACAAAAGTAAAATGGCTGGGATGGCAAGGATCAAACAAGGGACATTTAAAGCTTGCCAGAACAGGTGTAGATCTGCGTAGATGTTGTGATCCGCACAGATACCGTGGCTACGATGAGAAAGCACTTTGTCCATGAACAAGATTGAAACGGTGGCATGGCTGATTGGCCGCGTGGCAGAAGCACCAGCAGAAGTCTCAGAGCCGATACTGATGTGTCGATTCATCGTTTCTGTTGGAAATGCGATAAGGTGTAATATAAACATTAAACAGTCTTCTAAAGAATCCGCGATGACCAACATCGATCAATTGAAAACAAATGATCATGTTGTTTCTGACCCCTCCCTACTTCGATAGTGTCCAGAACTCCATGATGGATCTACATCCTCTCTCTTTTTCTATCTTTAACTGCGTCACCACCATGATTTGGCCAACACAGCCGCATCATATCAACGTTTTTACCTCCCAAACGAATTTGGCAGCAGATAGTTAAGTTTGTGAAAATGAAGCATTTCGTTGATCTGAAGCACATTCGATTTGAGGTTTGATCAGCGGGGTGGGTATAAGTGGAGCTGGCGACCTGCCATTGCCTTATTCTTCTTCGCTCCAACGATTTTTTACGTTTTCGTTCCACTTTTATAAACTTCCTGAAGGTAGATGAAGTTTATACTATCTGGTACCGTCACTCTTCCAGTATTCAGTGTTTAAATTTTTTTATACCAGATGAACATTAATGTTCTTTTTCGGTTCCCCAATTGTTGAAGAGACCCAAGTTTCTCTTGTCCGATTCTAATCCAAAATCTTTATTCTATGTTTTTAGGAAAAAATCGATTTAGATAGAAGTTGGGTTCTTTTCCTTCAAACTCGACCGAAGGAAATTCAAGGTATCGTATAGTAAATGATAAAGAAAAGGTTGTAGGTGATGTCCTTTACGGGGCAAACTATGGCACGAAGGTAAAAGTGAAAGAGCCTAGTATATAAATCTCACTTTCGAAATCTTTGCAAATAATTATACCAAGAATTATT